CTAGTCTATCAATCCCATTCTTTCCAGGTTCCTTTAGCTCACTATCCATCAGCGGATCACTTATTTCAGATCCTCATCATTATCTTTGACTGTCAACATGGCCTTACCCCCCCATCTCTCTGCAATCTCCTGTGGTCCTACTCTGTGAGCCACTCCTTCAATTACATCAACTCTAGCCTCTTCTCTGGAAAACCCTCCAGCGCATCTTGCCTCATCTCACTCCCTCTCCACTTTTAAAGCCAACTAAAGACAATAACAATAAAGAATGAATTGCAATTACGAACAGTCATTCCCATTGGGAGGAGGTTTCAATGTGCTGGACAATCATGGGTTTGCACCTGAGCTGGGTTTTGGATTCGGAGGTATGAAGACCAAAGGGGGTGGGGATAGAAAAATGAGCAGAGAAGATGAAAGAAGAAAGTCTTGAGATGGACCTTGAAAAAGGTGAGGGAAGAGGTGAGGTGAAGGATCTTCAGAATGGAGTCCCAGAGAGTGGAATAGAAAATAAATAGAGAGACCTATCTATTTAACTACACGTCCACAAATATACAGTCAATTCATTTTACAGTCTATTCTGTGAAGCGCTTTAAGAAATCTAGAAGATGTGAAAAGTGCTATATCAAATGCAAGGATTATTATTATTATTATTATTATTATTATTATTATTATTATTATTATTATTATTATTATTATACCTTCAGCCACCTCTTGTCTAATGCTCCCTCCCCCACCCCCATCTCCCATCATGCCTGGCTCCCACTCTGTCTTGAGGAAAATCTATGAGAAGTTCTCCTGCAAAAAAGACAGTATAACTGTTGTTGTTGAGTTGTTGAATTCTCCTTGCATCGTATGTTGCATTAAATTAGTTCAATTTCTTCCAATTTTGAGGCAGTCCCTTTATGTCACAGAGAAAAGACCTATACACAGTACTCCAGGTGCTACTTGACCAGAGCCTGTAAAGCTTGAGTATGACTACTGGGATTCTGAACCTCCTTATTGACCACGTGCCAAAATACTTCAATCCAGTCTCAAGCATTGTGTGCATCAGTGTTGGTTTGTTATTTTACATTCTATCCAATTTTGATGCACTTTAATTGTCTGGTACCATTCATTTAATACATTTTTGTTATGAGGAACAGCCTTAGAGATGTGCATTTTCAACATTTAAAACAGTACTACAAGCACATTCTCTTGGTGAAGGATGGAGTTATATCGCTTCATGGGCTAGTTTTGTGCCTGATTTTGTTCTCTTATCTATTTCTATTTAAACAAGAACACAAACAATACAGATCCTTTATATCACCTCTGACCTCTTCTACCCTGCTGTAAAGTATTGTGGGCTTTACGTTCCAATGTACAATTGTGCCAAGGTAAACATTTATTCCTTCTCCTCACAGTGTTAATTTCATAGTCATACCCGCCAAAGGCAGATGCATTGCACTCCCCACCTATGTTTACAGATCTCTCACATCATGGCAAATACATTATATGCAGTGATGTACAAGTCCCATGCACCCTACCAGTTTATTCTTACATCAAGAAGATCACATGCTTTTTGAAGAAGGTTTGCAGATCCTGCTTCAATTTCCTGGCGTTTCAGTGTGTAATCTAATCTTAAACACTACCAGTTCAGTTGTGGATCAGTTTATATTGCAGCAAACATTGCATCCACACAACTGATTTCTGCTCCACTGCTCTTTGACCTGGAATCTGGCTCTGTGATTATTGACTTCAGACAAAGCAGACTTTTATCCTTTCAGTCAAATTCAGGAGGTAGAGTGTTATTTTATCGGAGATTATTGACTTCAGACAAAGCAGACTTTTATCCTTTCAGTCAAATTCAGGAGGTAGAGTGTTATTTTATCGAAACAGTGTGAGACAGCAATAAACAAGGCTAACAGGATGCTGGGCTATATTAATAAATAAGATGAGTTTGAATCCTCAGACAACATTCTCAGAGCTCTGGTCAGACTGTACCTTGAATACAGCTTGCAGTTCTGGTCACTATTACATAAGGGGGCTGCCCAGGCTCAGAGGCAGTGCTGAGGAGAGCAACGAGGATGATCTCCAGTGTTAGAAGAATGAGCTGTGAGCATTGACTTGACACTCTAGGGCTTTTCAGTCTTGAGAGAAGATGGGACCTCATTAGAGGTGTATTTTTTCAATCCCATTTAAAATGTTGTAATCACAGTACTTGATCCAAGCTGCAAAGACGCTTGTTTTGAAATCATCCAACGTCCAAAACACAAAAGCAATAAAACAGAATGTTATCTGTTTTCTTGCGTGAGAATTGTCCTGAATAACTGCAGCACCTCCTCTGCAAAACAAATGTCACACTGGAGAAAAGAACATTGTGTTTAGATAAAAAAGCAATAGCAGCACAATTGAGTCTCACTCATGTTTCTCGCTAACACTGGGAAACAATTCATTCTCATCTTCTAATCCATGAATGTAATTATATTCACAAACAGCATGTGTGAGGCCACATATAATAAAAGGAAATTAATCTTTATAATTAGTATAGAATCTATAATGTTGAAATGTTTCACCGGTAATTGCTGTTGAATGTAGTAACTCTGATTCTAAGTTAATTTTTTTCACCAATTCTTAACCTTTTTAACATTTCTAGTACAAGTTAATATTAATGGAATCGCAAATTGCAGATTTTGTACATTTTAAAAATTGTTCCGAAGAAAGACTTAACCTTAAAGGGCAATTGCAAATTGTAACAATCACATTGCCAGGACTGGCATTTACCAGCATTTTTGAAAAATTAGACTGGCTAATGTATATAGTGACTTTCATGTCGAGTGGACATTTCAAAGCATTTGACACTAGCCAAAACTCATGTTGGGTCGGGGGTAGGGAAGAAAGTACGGTCAAAGAGATAACTCATAAGGCGTTCTATACCAAATGTAAAGATTAATTTATTTTTATTATTAACTCAGTTTTGAAAGTGGAGAGTCAGGGGGCAAGTCGGAGGCACTTGGAGTTTCAGAGAATGAGGGCAGAATGGCTGAAAGCGTGCCCATTGATAGTGGGGCAGCTAGAGCAGGGGACATGAAGAAAACCAGTAAAAAAGAAAGACCTTTTTAGTCAATATAATCACATAAATGTATGTGTGGAGCCACAATATACTCAAAACAACATGGACATTGAGATCATTTTTTCTGCTGTCCCATACAAATGTTCTTCTTTGTCACTAATTGAAACGTATCTCTGAAATTAAAAAAATAATTAAAACTGGAGTGGAAATTCATAGGGCCTGATAAGAAGCTGGGATGCTGAAATCGTTATGAGTCTGAACAAAACTAGCTTGTATTCAGAAACGGCAGTGTTATTTGTTTAGTGTCAAGTGAAGGCAGCATGCCTCACCGATGCATCAGCCTCTGAGGAAGTCTTGCTCAGTTATTTGGGAATGAGAAGGCCTACGAAATGCAGGGTTAGATTATTCTGATTAGATTATTTTGGTTAGATTATTCTGATTGTATCTATTAAGCAGCTGTCTGGGCCATAAATCTCTGTCAGCCTGGTGCAGTGGTAGCACACTCACGTCTGAGTCAGAAGGTTGTGGGTTCAAGCCCCACATTGGGACTTTGAATCACATTGTCTAAGATGACACTGCACTGCTAAAAAGTGGTGGGTTGAATTGTCGATGATGCCGCCCTTTGGATGAGACGTTAAACCAAAATGCCATCTGCCTGTTCAGGTAGATGTTAAAGATCCCATGGCACATTTCAAAAAGAGAAGGTGGCTCTCCCGATGTCCTGGCCAACAGTCTCCCAAAATAAAATTGGTCATTCAATCCATGGATGTTGTTGGACATTGCTGTGCGCAACTGGCTGCTGCACTCCACTCCTCTTGATTTCAGCTCGGGTGCAAACCCTTCACTGTCTAGCGTCTTGGGATGTCCTCCTGACATGAAAGGCACTGTATAAATATAATTTGTTGTTCTTGAATGCAAAGTATTGTATGTTTCTAAGTAGTTAAGGACATTTATCATGGCTTTTTTTGGAGTTCTGATGGAATGAGGTTGCAAACAATGCAAATAAATGAGTGTGGATCAAGGACAAACAAAATCTAGGTCCAATTCAAGGGATTAGAGATTGCTAATGTCCCATCAAGATGCATCACCTTACTGAAAATTGCAGACAGATCAAAGAAATGAGGTCCAATTCAAGACTGTCCCATTTCTCCATTTACAAAGAAAATCTGATTTTCAGATATATCAAGGCAATGATTTTCAGCCCAGTGATGCCATTTGATAGACCATTAGCATGTAGGTCTCCATCCATATGTACACAAGGTCTATTCTGAGGTGCAGAAGGTAATGGCTGGTGAGGATGGTACCACCATAACTTGTTCCAGGCAAATTTATAAGCCGGATCACAGGACGATACACAGGCTTTATCACTTGCCATGTTCAGAAGATGAAGATATCACAAGATCATAAGATTGGTTTGCCTGAAGAAAGCCCTTTGGCCCATTTGAATCTCATCCCTCCAGAATACCCAATCTCCATGGACTTTCCATCACAGCATCAAGCTGCTTTCTAAATGAATTTAGTGTCCTGGCCTCAACTACCCTTTCTGGCAACCTGTTCCAATTGTTAATTACTGAATGTTTGATCTTTCCCTTCAATGTCTATTTAGATCCTGAGGCACGAGTCCCGTATCAACCCAGCTGCTCCCTTCGCTCAGCAGGCACTGACTTGCTTCACATGGAATTTCTGCTCTTTCTGCCCCAAAAGGGTGGGGGCAGAAAGGCTGAAAGCCTGACCGCTGATGGTGGGGCAGGCAGTGCAGGGGACATGGAGCAAGCCTACATCTTTACATTGTGTAAACAAAGAATAAAAGTAGGCTGAAGACTTGAAGACTGGATCCTTTTAACTATCCAAGGCAGCTGTATGCATACGTACAGTGCTTTGAATATGATGTGAGTCATGATATAAAGTAATTACTAATGAAAATCAACAGCTTGTGGTCTTATTGTTATTACAGGGAAAGAAACAATGTCAAGATGAACATGTGAAACGTCGCTCAGAGAAACACTTTATGGACAACTTTGACTCAGGTACCAATTAAATAAACTGTATTGATTTCCAAAAACTCAGATTATTTTTAGTATTATTATCAGTCGAGAGTCTGTATTTTACACAATTGATTGATGTTGCTTGTGTTCAAGGGATGTTTCAGGTTAAAGTCTGGTTATCAGCTCCATCCGAACCATCTGATGCTTATTAAAATCTATTACCATGCATAACGGCAACTAAAAATAGCCACTTGGATATCAAATCAGAGAGCAGCTCATACATTTGGCGCCTTGCCCCAGCATGAATCTCTTCAGGGGAGGAGATGAAAAAGGCAGCAAATATTTTATATATACTATAAAATAGTATATTTTAGGGGAAAATATACTATTTTCTTAGAATGCTTCTTACATAAAACTGGCTTCTCAGTTATGGCTAAATTCAGGAATTTTCCAAATCCTTCACACTCTAAAATGCTAAGAAAATAGAGTAAATTAGTGGAATTTCTCTGGCAGTGCCAGAGTGAAAATGGCAATGCAAGTGGAGAGGACTGTTAAAAAGCTAATAGTATTCTGGGTTTTATACATAGGGGCATAAGGTACAAATTAAAGCAATAATGCTAACTTTAGGCACCTCATTTTAGGAAAGATGTTCAGAACTTGGATGGAATGCAGAGATCTACAAGATTGATACCAGGCACAGGTGCTTTAGTTATGAAGAGAGAGAAGTTGGGTCTATTTTCATTGGAGCAGAGAAAGTTGAGAGGTGACATACATGATAAGATGTACAACATTATGAGGAGTTTTGACAGGGTAAATAGGGAGAAGTTGTTTACATTGGTATGGAAGTCAGTGAATAGGGACTGTGGTTATAAGGTAATCACAAAAAGATTGAAAGGAGAGCTTAGGTGATTTTTTTTCACTCAGGGAATTATATTGTGGAGTCCTGTAACTCAGTGGTTAGAGCACTCGCCTCTCAAGTGAGAGACCTGGGTTCAATTCCTGGCAGAGCGAAACCTTGGGCAAGTTTCCTTACTCCACATGCCTAATAATAATCAAGAAAAAAAACCAATTATAAACTGGTCACGTCAATCCACGACTATTTGTGGGACACTGCTGTGCGCAATTTGGCTACTGAATTTCGCCCACAAATATACAGTCAATTCAGTTGACAGTATATTCTGTGAAGCGCTTTGAGACGTCTAGACGTGAAAAGCGCTGTTTCAAATGCAAGGATTATTATCATTATTGGGATGTCCTGCCCTTTCAAGTAAGGTGGAAGAGGTAGAGTCCATTGGGGATTTCAAGAGGGAAGAGACAGATAAATGAACAATAGAGGTATGGGGATAAGACAGAGCAGTGGGATTGAATAAACAGGTTGCTCTAAGAGTCAGTACAGACTTGATGGGCCGAATAGCCTTCTTCTGTGCTATAAATTTATGTGTATCTGTGCTATCCCATAGTTTACCAGGTTTCCATGTTTAATCTGTAATATTTTCTGTAAAATGCAGGAATGTTCATGGCTTTGCAAACAATCTGATAGCTGTGCTTTATGTCTTATTTGTTTTGTGCAGTAATAGGGAAGCTATCTGAGACAAACACTTATTAGTGCAACTCAGCACTTGTAACAATTATCAACAATTAATCTGCCTCTTAGTGGTTTGGTGGCTCTAGGTAGTTATTAGCAGTCATGTGTTTTAATTTTTTTTTAAAAAGTACCCCATTTACAGAGGTGAATCAAAGAGGAGTGATAACTGAGATCTCCTATTTATTTATGTCTATTGACATGTGTCAGCTACAAATTATCTTGTTTTTAACTTTGCTATAGGTTATTTGGACTCCTTAGCTATAGTCCAAATAGCACTTTTGTCAACTCTAGAAATCTGGAGCAGCAATTACAAATTGTACTTCTATTGTACTATCTTCCTTGGGGGGAGGTAAGTGGGGTCTGTTTTGAGCTGAACCTGGCTCTGAGGTGACATGCCTGACAATGGAATGTTAGAATCGAGCAGCCCACGCCTGTTCCTGAGCCAGGTGGGTCTGCAGTATTCTCGGGCACTGATGATGACAGCACAGCCAACCTGGCTCATACGCAAGCCCTAGAACGGCAGTCACTGGAGGCAGGGAGTCATTTCACTCAGCTCCTGTTAACCCTGCGAGCCAAAGCACTAACGGGTAGAGTGGTCCTAGCTGGACAAGCTGCGGGAAAGCTTGCCAGACGGCAATATCAATGGCAAGCTATGCGGTTTTAGCTGGTTAGATCCAGCAGTACCTCAACGCAAACTTTGGGGTCCCCAAGCCTTGGCTCTTGACAACCTGTGCCTAATACTTTCTGAAATTAGGTTAGCAGAATGCATCCCTCCAAGGAGAGAGTGTGCATTCCATGCCAACAATCTCTGAGATTTCCATGTGCAGGTGGGATGCAAGGAAATCACACCTTGGTTTGGATACTCCTAAGCATGGTGATGGGTTTTGGCATTTATCAGACACACGACTGACCAAAAAATAAATAAATAAAAATATTCCACCTTTCAAGTAAAAAAAAATCTCAAAATATTTTATAGAATTGGATTATTATTAAGACTAAGGTGGGTTGGAGACAGGGGGATAGGGGGAGGTAGCCAAAGGCACAGTGGAAGTGTTGAAGACCAGTGAATGCAAAGTGTTCAGGTACAGTGTGTTGATCTCTCCATTGCTGAATGCTCTGTGTTTGTCTCAATCTGTGTGTTTCTCTTAATCTCTGACCTGCTTGGGCAAAGCTGGGGAACTGCAAAGGCATATTCAGTGCATAGCTTTACACAACACATGTTTCTGCTGTTACAGTTAGGGGCTCCTCGAAATTATAATGTTTGGTGATTGAATAAGTTAAACGTAGCAGCGGATTACGATTTGAAAAGATAGCTCCATGACTGCCTGTGACAGAACTAGGGTTCAGGCTGTACATTGAGGCAGGTAAGCTCTTTGCCTTGTTGTAGAATTCTTTCCTGTGCAAGATGAAACAAATAGATTGAAATTATAGAAATGAAAGTGCCTTGTATTTTTGTAAAATTAGAGCAGTCAGTAAATACACTAAGGAGATTGTACTGGATACATTACAAGCAATGCCTCAACACTGTAAAGTTAATAATAATAATCCTTGCATTTGATATAGCGCATTATCACTTCATTGAGGCATCTCAAAGCGCTTCACAGGATATACTGTAAAGTGCATTGACTGTATTTTGTGCGCAAAATGCGACAGCCAGAAATGTCCCACAAACAGCCGTGGAGTGAGTGACTAATTTTATTTTGAATATTTTGGATAGCCAGGACAAGGGGAGAAACTCCCTTCTCTTTTCGAATAGTGCCATAGCATTTTTAACATCCACCTCAACAGGCAGACATCTAAACTCAACATCTCATTTGAAGGATGACACCTCCAACAATGCAACATACCCCCAGCACTGCACTGAACTGTCAGCTTAGACTATGTGATTCCAAGTCCCAGAGTGGAGCTTGAACCCGCAACCTTCTAACTCAGAAGTGAAACTTCTACCAATGAGCCAGGCTGATAGACACAATGCACTTCACAGGATATACAGTATTGTAAATTGTAAAGATCACTTAACACAGACACCATTCACTCAGTTTCACAAGGCATCATCGAATTAATGTCATAATGTTATAATTCAATAAACCCAATTTCCACTTGGGTTTATTGAATGGACTTTAAACTGCTACTTTTTCCCACAAAATGCACAGTCACTACAATTTACAGTTTATCCTGTGAAGTGCTTTGGGACATCTTCCAGATGTGAAAGGTGCTAGAACAAATATAAAGATAATTATTTAATGGTGGAAGCTACATTAACTCCCACAGTTACCTCTAATTGCATACTAAACAAAGATAGCGCATCACTTTGGTGTTCTCTCACAGTACAGCTCTAACAGTAACAGCTCTAATTATAAATCTTGGAGTATTTTGGCATCTAGTACACTAGAATCATTTCACAACAGTGCAATTTTTTTCCACTCTACGTGGGGTCTAAATTGTGTGATATTTTGTAGTAGGATTCTTTATTGAGGAATCCTGTGAAATAATACCTCAATTTTCCTCACTGCATTGATTAGTTAGATTTGTGTGCATGTTTGGACAAAGTTCATTGCTTATTCTCTCACTGGTGTGTGTGAAATAGGCCTTTTAATGGTAAGGGAGGTTACAGAAACCAGCACTTAGAAAAGAAAACACTTTGGGCACTGTCCTGATTGTACTGATTCATCTGCCAGCACAATGCAGTTTGCAGAATAATCTCATCACTGCTTCTGCTTAACATGCTGAAAGTTAAACTTAGAATAAAAGAAAAAAAACCAAGTTGGGAGAGAGAAGATGAAGAACAGTTAAAGTTGATTCACTCAAATATTCCTACCCTTTGGCTCACTTGGTTGCTTATAAAGAAATAAGTGTTACACAGAATGTTACAGCATGGATACAGGCCTTTCAGCCCAACTGGACAGTGCTAGTGTTTATACCCCACATGAGCCTCATGCCTCCTAATCCCCTCTCTTGCACTCCTCCATTCCTATCTCCCTCATGCATGCATCAAGTTTCCTCTTAACCTATATTTTTACAGAGCCTTAACAGCTCAAAATGTGGCAGCCATTTGCACCACCAAGGTTCTATAAACTGTCCTGAAATTAATAATCAATTAATCTGGACGATTATGGGCCAGGGCACCAGTCACATCTAAAAGATTGAAAGTTACACTTACAGATGAAATTGAGTCATATAAAACTCCCAGGGTTTATTTGTGGTCTGTCTGAGCTACGTGACCTCATGCGGGTGATACCCAAGGTACTTTAACTGACCTGGAGGGGAAAACCCTTAGCTCAGAGGTCTGATTTCTATTCAGTGACCTATGCTTAAAACTGTGTGCGTGTGTTTGTGTGTACTCAGTTAATGGGCTATTTTAACTAGCCTACTGACACCACTGTCTCAGCTTACATGTGAAGAATGGCCAGTCGATTGAGATGCTAAAAGGGTTGGTGTGTGTATGAATCAAAAACTTCAGGTGTGGGGAGGAGAGATTTTCTAAATCACTGATAGGAGATGTTTTGAAATTGGGGACTGGAGTCCAGAGGAAGGGAACTGAATCTGCATCTCACAAATGTTTGGCACCACATCACAAGAAACTACATTGGTGGGCCACTCTTCAGTCAAACTCTTCTATCTTTCTCCAAGACTTCTTTGCACATTTTCTTTCCTCTTCTGTGTTTTCCTATGCTCAATTGTGCTTTTTTCCCCCTAGAATTCTCACTCTCCACTTGTGTGAAAGTTCATTTCTTCAATATCTCCCCCTTGATCTACCACTCTGCTCAATGGCAGCTACTTTCATGCCTCTCCAAATATCTTTTGGGGGTGTTTGATATCTGTAAGTTACAAGCTAAACAGTGCCTAATTTCTGGTCTTCCCCGAACTACTAACCATAAATTAATTTTAAACTCTTCTCCAAGGTAATTCTGTGTTATGTGTCAGATCAGAGACAGTCTGGGAGTGAGTCTCCAATCTTTGGTAAATATACCAACCAACAGAGAACAAGGCATACCCCCAGTATCATACTATCTGCAGTAACCCAAACTTCAGCAAAGTAAAGTGAAAATAGGCATAACACCACTTGGCTAACAGAAAGAAAAGTTGACAGTTGGGGAACTTTTAGGGGAAGTTTATTTGCAAATCTATACATTTCTGATTATGTTCATGCTCTGCTAACCACACATCCTCTTTAGATGTCAGTGCAACCTTAAATAATGCCTGTTTTCCTGTCTAGCATCCACTGAATCCAGTTTACAATTTCAGTTTGGGCTATTTTTTATGACTAGCACAAAACGATTAAATGGATCAAATTAAAGGCAACGGATGGTCCCGTGGATTTTGGACTAAATAATAATAAATAATAATCCTTGTATTTGATAGAGTGCTTTTCACATCTTCTAGACGTCTCAAAGCGCTTCACAGAATATACTGTAAAGTGAATTGCCTGTATATTTTGTGGGCGAAACGGGGCAGCCAATTGCGCACAGCAGTGTCCCACAAACAAGTCGTGGATTGAAAATTATCAATTTATTATTCCTGCATAAGCTTTCTGTTGTGTTAGATTTATGCAGGGTTATTGCCATAGAAAATGTTACCAGCAGCAACCCAAATCAGTTTTGAAATAGATGAACAACTCCCAGGCAGGTGTCAATCCAGAATAAAGCTTTATTCATATAGTCACAGTAGTTAGAAGGGGGCCCACTAACTACAGCTGAACATTTCCTTCACTCTTACCAGCTGTTTTTGAGGCTTCCCTGAGTAATTGTGCAAATGAGCAGCTGAGTTTGTTCAGTTTTGTACTAAAGCTCTGGATTGATGCTTCCAAACTTATTTCCTTAATGTGATCAAAGAGGAGACTTTCATCCCATCATGCTGTCAGAATTCAAACCCAAACTACCAACTCTCAAAAAACCAATATGTTAATCCACTATGTGATACATTCCTTCAGTAGATTTATTTTTCTTACCAGCATACAACAACAACAACAACAAGATTCCATTTATAGAGCGTCTTTCAAGTCAGGAGAACGTCCCAAGGCGCTGGACAGTTGGGTCAGGACCCAAGCAGGGGGGAAATGGTCAGGGTGAGGGGAGGGAAGGGAGAGAGCGAGGAGGGGGTAGAGAGTCGAGAGGCGAGCTGAAGGCACGGTCAAAGAGAAAGGTCTTGAGACCGGCCTTGAAGGAGGAAAGGGAGGAGGCAAGGCGAATGGAGGATGGAGTTCCAGATCCTGGGGGCTGAGAGGCTGAAGGCCCGGCCACCGATGGTAGGGCGGTTGGGGCGGGGGATGTGGAGCAGACTGGAGCCAGAGGAACGGAGGGTACGGGCAGGTAACTAGGGGGATAGGAGGTCAGAGAGGTAGGAGGAGCAAGGCCGTGAATGGCCTTGTAGGTGAGGATGAGAATCTTGAATTCGATCCTCTGGGGGATGGGGAGCCAGTGGAGGTGAACGAGGGTGGGAGTGATGTGATGTGGTGATAGCATAGTGATATTTACCTTTAACCAGACTCATTGCACTCTAAAGACGCAAAAGAGAGGGACAGGTTACAATTTGCTGAGCTTTTTGAAAAGCCTTAACCCCAAAGAAATCTGGAAGTGAAATCTTGGTGGTTTCTCCTATCTTCTGTACAACCTTTACCCTTTACATGCAGTGTTGTTAGTGATGGAATAGCACATTGGACCTTTGGTGATAGGAAGGCATTTAACCTTTGGTCTCTGCTAATCAAGTAATGATGGGTGATCCAGCCATCAAGCTCATGATAGTGTAAAAAACTATTGTCAGTCTTTTTGCAGCCACTGAGAAGTTCAAAGGTTATGTATGCATTCTGCATAATGAATAGTAATGTTGAGTAAAGCTAGAGGAATCTTTAGTGAAGTGTTCCTAAGGTTGGTCAAGACCATAAAGATGGAATTTTGCAGGATCATTGCCAATAAAAGATGCTTTTCATTCAATGCAACACAAAGATGAGTCTGTGTTAAAAACATATTACAGTACCACAAAATAGCACTATAGCACCTGGATGCAATATCATGGTGATAGAAATGAAGTATGATCTTTTCCTTTCCTAATAGCACCTGCGACATACCCCACCTTAAAACAGAGTTTTAGCTAATCTTTGGGCTTTTCGGCTCAATACTGCCAGGTTTTAAGAATAACACCCCTCAGCATTTGCTCAGAGGTTGCGGTCTTTTCACTTTCAGGAGAGCTCAAAAGAGAAATTCCACCTGGATCTAAATTTATTTAAGTAGCATTTTAGAGCTTCCAGGATTCAGAAAGATCCTAATTTAAAAGCCACTTTTCTAAAAGTTATTTTAAGGACTATAGAAAAGCTTTGTAAATAGGGTAAATAAGGTGGCATTTCCCTCCCCACCCCCACCAATGCCTTGCCTCAGCGCTTTGGGACGTCCTTCTCACGTGAAAGGCGCTCTATAAATGTAACATTGTTGTTGTCGTTCTTGCCTCTGCTCAGCCATTTCCAGCTGAGATCTGCATATAACTGACTGGAAAGCTTTGGATTCAGGCTTCAGATCCTCCACTCAGCCGTATACCAATGTACAAATGCCGTAACATTGACCGTAAATTTGTCTTTAACAAGAATATAGATTCTGTCCCTTTTGTGTTCAGCATATACAGTATATACCAACTTTGACTGCAGTGCCAATTAATTTGCAGTGCAGCAAATGCTATTTTGTACCAATCAGATTCAACAGACATAATGCTGAAGGCACCATGAACAAGATAACATACCAAGCTTCATGCTTCAAGACTATGTTACCAGAATTTCAGTTTTACCACTCTGGTTCTTGATCGGCTAAAACAATTTATTTGTATTTGTGAATGGGGTTAACATTAGAGTAATACAATTATTAACAACTGAGTACAGCTTTATCTTCAGTGAGCTTTCAGCCACTTTTTCCCTGCTTTTTGAAACCCTCCCTAAATCCTCTGCATCGCTCTTTGCTTTCAAAACCATTTAAAAAACAATCTCTGACTGTACCTATGACAACCTCCCACCACCTCCCTTTTCTCCCACCTTGCTCAGGCTCCCAAGATCTGTAAACTGCTGAACTTTGAAGTTCTCCTATGTGAAAGATGCTATATAAAAAGTGCAAGTTGCTCTCATATACAACATCTGATTCAGTGTCTCACTGTGGAACTGGAAATTTAAAAAAAATCCCAAGTCTGGAATCTCCCAGCAAATTAATAGTTAAATCACTTTTTTTTTACAATACTTTCTGCTTTGTTTCTTTGCCGCCTCTTTTGAACATATCATTCAGGTGGAAAACCAATTTTACGACCAGAATTCATGTTCTAAAGCTAGCCCATTTGTACAAACACGCAATGAGAGAAGAATGCAAAATAACCATCAATCCGGTTGAGATTTAGAAATCCAGTTCACAGCATCCATTCAGACAATGACCAACATATAATTATTTTATACCTCAAGGGGCATGATGGCTTACTCATTCATGGAATAAGTACAGTGTGTCTGTCAGCTTCTAAAGTTTCTTTCTTCTTGTTGGATAATATGAATCCAAACAGATCACAACATCGATACTATTCTAAATACGCCAGTGTCTTGCAGTTTTCTATTCTGGCATTGCATCTTTCATCTTCCCTATATCATTTTCATTGTTCGATGTAATTTGTTCAAACATGTCACCATCTGCCTGCATGGGTAACCTGCTATTGCAATAATCCATTCGTAAAATGCATGTGCGTAAAAACATTATATCACAAGTAACCTTTCCAACACAGATGGTCAGCAGTGCAGCAGCCAATGTTTTTTTAACATGTATTTTACTTATGAACATTAGCAACTCCAACTCAACCTCAGGCAGCATGCACATTTGTAATTTCCAGCAGCCAGGCATTACCCTGCAGTCTGTATTGCAATCCAGTCACTCAGCTAGCTTTTGCTACATCAGTAGCCAATTCATATCACCCCCGTCAGTATATAGTCAATTAGATTGCGAAGCCAGAGTTTATATTTTCTGCTCCACTTCATTTTGAAACAAAGCTGGAGAAACACAAACTTTGATGTGGTACATGAACCAAACATCACAGTTCAATATGTGATTTTAAAGTTATTAAATGGTCAATTTCGCAATCAGTCTGTCTGTTCAAACTTGCAATGTATGGTTCATGTCCAACTAACAGCCAGAGAGCTTTGAGTAAGCCCAGTACAAGTCACACTGCAGAATTCATACATTCCCTCCATGTTCATTAAGCATTGGGGCACTGGTCCAATTTTGCCCACTGACCTCATTCGTTTCCGAGGTCTGGTTGGGATTTTAACTGATAGTTATGTACTATTTATAAATCCAATATACTGTAATTGGAGAATATATTTTAAGACATGGTAATGTGTGTTACAGAATTCATGGTTTAATGTGTGGTGATTACTAACGAAAGTCGGTGACTGCTATCGAGCACTTGACCTGTGAAAGTAGAACTATTTGGAGTGAAATTCCTGTAGATCAGAGTGACCCCTGTTATTGGCAGCTGACAATATTCACAACAGCATTGTTGAATTACAAACATTTTAATATTTGATGCTGCAGTATTCAACTAGTTTAGGTTAGTTTTCTCTTTAAATCAATATAGAATTGCAATCAATGAAGCCAGTGACAAGAGTTCTTGAAATTCTCTACTGGTTATTAATTTTTTTTAATCAATTTTGTCAATAAATAATCTCTATATTAGTTTTCTGTACAAAAAAATTCTCAAGTTTTCTTAATCTTTGTCGTGCACAGTCACACTTCTCTGTAACTAAACATAATAAGAACAAATCAGAAAAACTGGAGATGAAAGAACCTCAGGAGATAACTAACTGCAGAAATTGACAACAATTCAATAAGCAGAAAAAAATATACAGAATTCCTGTCACTGACTTCATTGATTGTAATTTTCTATTTGATGTAAAGAGGAAAAAACTAATGTAAACTAGAAATGATGATCAGGAAAGTAAAATTGAACAGAGAAGCAACTTTAAAGTGTCAGCCTGGCTCAATTTATAATACTCAAACCTTTGAATTGGAAAGTTGTGGGTTCAAGTTAAAGATTCTGTGTTATTACTCAAAAAGAGAAGGAAGTTGCTCCCGATGTGCACAAATTGGTTGCCGCATTTGCTACAAAATACACAGTGACTGCACTTGGGCGATCTCTGGCACTGGGACAACATGTAACAAAATATGGTGTGCGATCCATTTGTGCTTAGTAAAATCATTCACAACAAATATCATTAACATAAGAAAGGTCTTTACAAAAGAAAAGGCCACAAGCCAGTTTCTTCAGCATCTTTTGTGGATCAGTTACCTTTCACTTCTAAGCTATTGCTCCAGATGTGGGGGTTGTATTTAGCTCCGCTCTTGAGATCTCTGATGTGAACGAGATAGGATTGTGCAGGAAAACACCAGAAAACTTAAGTACACTTGTCTATTTATGATAAAAGTAATCATTGCATTTGGTAGAGTGCTTTATCGTGCTGTCAAAACATCTCAAAACTCTTCACAGGATTTTACTGTACACTGTAAAGTGTAATGATTTACAATACAGCATGGCGGACAACTTTGTGAACAGCAATGTCCCACAAACAGCCATGAAGTGAATGATCAATTTTATCTGGAGGATTTTTGGTCAGAACACTGAGAGAAACTCCCTTTTCTTTTCAAATAGTTCCGTGGGATCTTTCACATCCACCTCAGCAGACAGACTGAAATTAATGAAAGTTAGCAAAAGTTCTGCACTGTAAGAACGACTTACTGCAATTCAATTAATAGGCAAATTATCATTGCAACTGTGTTTGTAGCAAACAGTTGCATGAGCAGTAGAATTGCATGTGCAC